AGAGAGAGAGAGAGAGAGAGAGAGAGAGAGAGAGAGAGAGAGAGAGAGAGAAGACAGACAGAAAGAGAGGCATAACTATTCTCGAAAGAAAGAGAGAGAAACGTGCGTCAGGACGTGGTGGAATCAGGCTCTCGTCAATTTCTGTGCATGTGAAGTTGTTCGTATCACTCTAAAGTTTGTGCATTTGTCTTGCTTTCAATTTTTAAAAATACCCATACATCTTGAATAGTAGTTGAGATATTTGCGATTGAAGGAGGTGGGGGGGGGGGGGTTGCCTGATTTCAGAGGTTAAATTAGCGAGAAAATGGCCCCAAATGTTTGGTAACTTTCAGAGCTAGAGAGTCCTTGCCTTGGAAACTTACAATGAACATTTTTTGTGCCTTTAATCCACATTTTTAGTAAAACCCTGACTTCACCACAATACATCACATTTTATTACTTTTGTGGTTAATTTTATTTTCAAATTAGAAACCTGCCTGCCCTCGATGTAGGTAGATACCGTGATGAAGCACTTGGTCACTTGTTAGGATACTGAGCTACTCATAACTATTCTCGAAAAAAAGAGAGGGAAAATGGTAAAGTCAATTCCGACCCCTCATTCTCACAGTACGTTATACGCATCTTTTGCAGAAGACATCCATATGATCCAAATTATGTAGCCCCATAAAGAGTGAAGACAACAGATGTGCTTATTAGGTTAAATAAGTTCTGAATGGAGGGGTAGGGTTTACCTTTACAAAAAAAACTTGAACCCCACTCAGATTTAGACACTGAACTTCCTTGTAATAGATCAAGGGCAAAAGATACCGCAAGCTGAGCGCTATTTTGTAGTAACTCCAATTTCTGGTGTTTGAGAGTTTTATCTCATTCATTTTTCCGATCAAACATGTATCGTCCTTATTTCTCCTCCATTTTTGTGTTTGTTACTCTCTTGTAACATCTCTAACCTTCAGCATTTATATGACTTAATTGTGTTGCAAGTGCTGTGGAACACTTACTATAATAAAACAACACAACAAAAAAACCTCATTCAGCGAGAATTCTCACTCGACTGGTTTCCACGCATGCGCCTTTGACAAGAGTATTTTCCCACAACCCCCACCGTCTCTTTACCTAGCTCTAGATCTAAGTTCAGTAAAAAGATAGTTCTACTTGATGGCCACATGAGTAATGAGAAATCAGGTTATAAATGTTAAGGTTTGTTCATACTGTTATTTTGACGGGGCTCTCGTGGCCTAGAGGTTAAGGTGTTTGCCTCTCATTCAAAGGTCCCGGGTGATCAAGTGTTCATTAAAATATCTTGTTCATCAAGTGATAATGTTGACATTGGGATTTGGATTCTAAAGGCAACAGTGAGACAACAAATATGGGTATCACGTTATAGGTTCACCACTAGAGCTCCATCCAAACATCCCTCCTATTGTTAGCAAAAATTAGTGTAGATAAATATTATAGGCAATAATAAAAACCTGTGTTTTCACAATGTAGGGCCTAATGAATTCAGTGTTGTTGGAAAAGTTTAGTGCAAGTTATTCACAAATGGAAACTGTCTTGAAGAGGATGAAATTTGCATCTCAAAAAGCTAGGTAAGGTACAAGGTCATATCCATTTTTTTTTCCTCCTACTTTTTCCACTTTTTAAAATTGACATTATACTGAGTTGGTTGTTATGGTATGAACATTTTTCTTTGCCCAACCCAAGCTGAAGGTTGTTTTCTTTTAATTGTCAGTATTGTTACTTTCAGTGCAACTTTAACTAACCTTTCAACTATTGCATATGTAATCTAGACAAGACATAGACATCAAATTTTTTGCATGAGGGACCACAAAAATAATTCCAAAACTTTCTTTCCTTAATTAGCCACCTGATAATGCTTGTGATAGCTGTCTTCTTTTCCACAGCACCCCCGCAGCGTGTCTCGTGAGCTGGCGACTTGATCAGCCTCATGTAGGCCGACTTGAGGTGGGGACTGACCGTCTCGGGCAAGTCCTGTGTGTCCATCACAAGGTTCAGGCTGCTGTCCTGACCCGTGAACTGACGGATGAAACTCTCGCGGATGTCGGAGATGTCAAAGTCTCCGGGCATCTTGTTTAGTTTCACCATCTGGGGGTGATCCCTTTAATAGAAGAAAACCGTGGAAACAGGAGATTACTCAGATAGTACTTGACGGGGGGGGGGAATGTTTCGTAATAATATCAAAGTCTCCACTCATTCTGTTCTGTTTCACCATCTGGGAGTGGCCATAGCATAAGAAAAAAGAAAGAAAGTGAGTGGATGAGTACACATTACACATAGAATATGAAGAAAGACAAGAGGGTGAGTAGGTTGAGTGCACATAGAAAAAGAAAAAAGAAATCAAGAGGGTGAGTGGGCTAAGTGGGTTGAGAGGAAATGACAGAATGAGAGTGGGTGCAACTCATAATAGTTTGTCCATCAGTGTCTCACAAATGCATCTGCAGGGATATTGGTTTTTCTGACTTTTTCTTTCAACATGGATTGAGGAGTGGGTAGGGTGGTGTTGTACGTATGCTTTTTTTTTCTCAATTTTCATCGAATATCTAGGTGTTTCTGTTGGGCTGTTGTATTCCGCTCAGCCACAGGTGGATAAATGAGATAACTCCAAAAGTATAGAGGGGAGGTGGGGGGGGGGGGATGTGAAGAAACTGCCTTGTCTTAACCTTACAAAGCATGACTGTTTTGTTAAGACTGTCCAGAATGGAGTGATACCATGTGCGATGTTTTGTTGTTTGTCGTTAATGTTTGTCCATCATGTCATCATACCTGAAAGGCACTTTTAACTTATCCTGAGAATGGGGAAGGGCTCATGGAGACTTTTACCAGTGTGAAGAAAAGGCAGTGCGGCATCAGAAAGATTAAATCATGGTTACTTCAATATGATCATGAAGGAGAGGGTTTTCTTTTTATCATATATAACTTTATAACTTTCAGAATATGAGAAGGCCATGTGAAAAACAGGTGACGTCACAAAATGCAAATAGTCCTGATATCCATCTAACAAGTTTGTAGACTCGTGTAACTTTTTTTCTATTAAACTGTTGGCTGAGATTTTTGTTTGATGTCTCATTCAACTAACAATAATCATCAATTGACAGTCAAACAGAGATGACGTTATGGGTCTACAAGCTTTTAAAGAGAGAGAGAGAGAGAGAGAGAGAGAAAGAGAGAGAGAGAGAGAGAAAGAGAGACAGAAAGAGAGTTGAGGTTATCGATCCAGTTTATCTTCTGGTGTTGTTGTTGTTGTTATCGATCCAGGAGAAAGAGAGTGACAGAAAGAGAGAGACGAGAGAGATGATGAGAGAGTGAGAGACAACGCGAAGAGAGTTCCTGTTTATTCCTGCATTCCATCTTAACAAGTGGGCAAGCACACATATTTCTTTACTCCATGCTCAACACTTCAACAGGAAAAATGTCACATACAAACACTTTTCACCTTACATCCTTACATAAAACTAGAAAGTGTAGTCACTTACGGAAACTTGGAAAAGATTCTCAATCTAAGGGGCAGCATTTCCTGAGTCTCCAGACTTTGTTCTCTCAGCTTCAGCTGTACAAAAAAAAATATTAAAAGAGAAGGCAGTAGAAAAAAAAGTATATGAAGTAGAATGGTCACAATACACTGGAAAGCAAAAAAGACCAATTAAATTGAGGAAAATACAATACTATGGCTATTTAAAACCACCCGAAACCATTGTGAAAGAGGTGCTTGAAGGAAAGATGTGGGGCAGAAGAGCCAGGGGAAGACAAGGAGTAACATGGATGGACAACATAAAAATATGGACAGGCCTGGATATGGCAGAATGTGCAACGGCAGTTTGCAACTGTGAAGGATGGGAGGTCATTATGTGTCAACCTCTAAGTCAGAGATGACACCTCCAGGTATCCAGGTATACAAAGTTAAACTAAATCTTTGGTTGCTGTTAGAAGAATTCTTCATTTATGGAAAAAGTTATACACTTGTTAAGCACAAAGTATATCTTATTTCCATGATGAAACAAATGTTCATTCAGTCTGAAGCAGAAAAAACTTTGATGGTCGTAAGACAGAAAAAGTCTTCTTTAACATTCTACAAACAGTAGAAGTGATGTGGGCCTTTATGTTGAAAACAAAAAAGCTGCCGTCAATCTCTCTCTGTCTCTTTGTCTCTCTCTTTCTCTCTCTGTCTCTTTGTCACTCTCTCTGTCTCTCGCTCTCTTTCTCTCTCTCTCTCTCTCTCTCTCTCTCTCTCTCTCTCTCTCTCTCTCTCTCTCTCTCTCTCTCTCTCTCTCTCTCTCTCTCTCTCTCTCTCTCTCTCTCTCTCTCCCTCTCTCTCTCTCTCTCTCTCTCTCTTTGTCACGGTCTCACTCTCAAGACGGGCAAAGTCACAGATCTGGGAGTACACACACACACACACACACACACACCTATTCATATACAAAAACATATACTGAAACATAATGAAAATATAAATACACAGATTAAGACACCCTCCCCCCACCTTTCTCTCCTAATACACAAAATACAAACAGTGTAACCTAAGCCTCACGACTTAGTTTCAGAAAATAGAAACATATTAACACAATAAAAGTCGTTTAGTTCAGGGGGAAAAGAAAGACTGACAGACAGATAAACTAGAAGAATGGTGAAGAAGTTGAACCTACCATCGCCACCCTCCAGCCACCCACAACAAATCAGGACAACAACAATCTTGAGAACAAGTAAAGTTCTGCTGTTATTTTTAAAAGTATTACAGTATACACAGTTTTTACAATTTTACAGTAGAGCCAAAAAACTGTATGTTGTTACCAAGAAAGCATTTACTTTTAAAGATAATAAGGAAGTTATTATCAAAATTGTATTCTTTAAATATTGACTTTGGTTGTTTGCAAGGAGTTTGTTTTGTTGGCAACAACATTCAGTTTTTGGCTATCCTGCCAAATTGTTAAAACTTTATCAGAGTGGTTCTCGTGTAACAGTCAACCCACTTGGAGGAAGCAAGCCTTGGTTGCTGTTATGGAGAGATTGCTCTTTTCTGGATTGCTGTTAAGTGGACACAACTTCAAAAACAACAGAGCTCACCACAAGCGAGCACCTACCAACCACCCGCTAATATACCAACTTGTTTCAGTTTTTTGATGTCCTCATCCAACTCCAGGTTGTCAAGAATCACGGCCACAAACAAGCTGATCACGATCTACCGAGCAGACAACGGCATCTCTCATCACTCATCAAGGGGATAATACAGCTATTGTAACCCAAAATGAGGCATGCACATAAATAAAAGTGGTATTTAAGGTTATCCCCCCCCCCCCAAAAAAAGATTCTTTTTAATAAAATAAGGCTCCAAATGTCATTTCTGGTCAATTTTCAACACAATTAAATTTGAACTGCTTTTCTGCACTCAAGTGGACCTCCAGGGATTTTTGTTAAAAATATTTGTTGTTTTTTTTTTGTTATGGTTTCTTTATTTGCGGCTCAGGGGGGGGGGGGGGGGTGAGGGGTTGCTGGTTCACAGTTTGAGGAGAGGGGGGGGGGAGGGGTGAAAGGGTAACACTTGTCGCCAGCAGTTTTGAGCTGAAATAACTCATCATTCTTAAGGCAAATATTTCACACCCAATGTACAACACTCTCTGACTATTACCTGTTTCAAATAAAGTTTTGATCTCTCAAATCCAAAGAAAAGATTATGACTTGGTTTTCCTCTCCCACACAAAGGAAGGCTTTATGTTAGACACAATCCACAAATGTTCCAGAGGCACAATTTTTATTCAAGTAACTGCCCTTTAATATAATGGCCTTTTAAACTTAAAATTACATCTTTTGACATTCGATTATCGCATTGTCAAGGCAGCAAAATCATATCATCTAAAGGTACATGTATTATGCATATGTTTCTGACTTACAAATAAGAATCAATCTATTAAGCAAACACTATTTTAACCACAATAAGATTTTGAATATTGAATGTCCTTGTTTTGGAGCAGCAATATCGGCATACATATAACACATTGGTAAATTCTTAAAATTCATTATAATCATTTCATTTATCTAAAAGAAAACTATTGAAATCTAATAAAACATAAGCATTTTCATATTTTCTGAACATCATTAAATCACATGCAAGATAACTGTAGTATTTAAACCTAATTGGAAAATTATCTCTGATTAACATGCATCAGGTAACAATTTCAATTCACTTCTTCAATCTATTTTTCCCAATAATCAGAATATCAAAATTTCTTTTAATCTACATTTTGGTGAAAGATGATTATCAAGTCTAATAACTTGCTCATCAAAATAACATTTTTGCAGGTCCAATTACAGAAGCCAAATCTCATTTCAATCACAAACGTTAAGTTGGTGCTTCAAGATAAAATACACTTTTTAAATCTCTAACCCAAAGACTGACACAGAAAAAGCTATCGCAAATAAGATTAGCTGTGAAAATGATCAAAAATAACAAAACATTACCCATCGAAATAATTAAAATACTCTTGACCTATTATTAGTTAAGAAAAATATGCAGGCAGTTATATCAAAATGCATTACATGACTACGGTACTGGTTTCATGGAAGAAAAAAAAACTGTAAGGGGAGACAAAGGTGAAATGAATTGATAACAAAAAGAAGCAAAATATATCGACTGCTTAGTCTAAGACTCCGCCCATAAGCCATTTTGAAAAGTGACGTAGGACCAAGTGTTAGACTGAGCTGTCAGTATGTGGTAGAAGGTTACGAAACAGCAAACCAATCTGAAACATATTAAAGTCGGAAAAACATTAAAAGCCTTTTCAGGAAATAATGAGAAGGAAAATAACTGAGGCAGGAAGAAAAGGATCTCAAATTTGTTAATGGGCTACAGAAAAAAAATTGGAAGTCTTTTAAAACAGGAGCATGCACCTTAGGGCAATATGTCAAGGTTTTCAACAACAATGATATGAAAAGCATACTTACATGTCAGTATAAGCAAAGCTTGTCTCAGTAAAATATTGCCCATGCCCAAAGGGTGTGTTTACATTACCAAACAAAAGCATTGGGGCGAATTATCAAAGACAGTCAGGCAGCAGTGTGTAAGGCTAATAAAAGTGAAGTGATATACAGGGGGGAGGGGGGAGCATAACCACGGGGAAAAAGTCAGATTGAAGCTATTCAACAATGACAGTTGAGTTCTACTGCACTTATTCCTTTTTTTTTCCTCTTTTATACTTCATTTAGTCTACGTTTGAAGAACATTACGTTGTGCGATTCCTGGCAAATTAACATCTTGACAGCAGTAACATTTTGCCAGGAACTTGTGCCGACAAGAAAAGATGAATAGAGAGTTTTCACACCAGAACAACCGCCACCACTCACACAGTGTACTCGAAACAAGAACAAACAAAGATAAACTCAAAAAGGTTTGTCTTATAATGAGAAGTTCCATTGGGACATAATCTTTTTTTTATCATTAGAAGAAAAGACAAGGTTTGGAGTCAAACAGAAGAAATTCTTTCAAACGGCATCAGCCCCAAGAACTCACACACTGAAACATGCTGCTGTTGTTTTTATTGTAGTTTTTGAGAAATAGTATGTGGTGAGTAAACACATGAGGGCCCAATTTTGGTATGTACAAACTAGGAAAGGCAGAAACATCAAAGTAGAAGGAGCAAATCACAGAAGAGCCCCCACCTACAGTCCAGTAGTCTACTTTTATATACAAAGTTGATTGATATGATATGTTCTCCATTTGTTCATCTAATCTTGGAAGAACCTTAAAAAATGCTCTGAATTTCAAACCAATCTTCTCTTCCCTCTTCCACATTATCCTCTTGAGCTTGGCAGTTGTAAATTGCAGGTTCTTTCACTCAGTACAAAGGACAACAGACGTCCCATCCTGCTGTGGCCAAGTTTGTTCTTTTGACTAGTAGCCTATGAAGTCGCCTCATTACTTAAAATGATGGCTGGTAGCTCAAGAAGACAGGGGTTGAAAACTTCATCAAATTAATCAGATGGCAAAGAAATGACAGTAATGTTCTCCTTAATAAAGCTTTACATGATTTCATGATTGATAGCTGTGTAGGCCGACATTGTTCTTTAATCAACACCTCTATCTCCTGGGAAACATTCAGCAAAAGAAACCCACTAGGCACCTAAATTTCATCCTTGTTTGACTTGTGCTTCTTCTTCTTCTTCTTCTTCTTCTTCTTCTTCTTCTTCTTCTTCTTCTTCTTCTTCTTCTTCTTCTTCTTCTTCTTCTTCTTCTTCTTCTTCTTCTTCTTCTTCTTCTTCTTCTTCTTCTTCTTCTTCTTCTTCTTCTTCTTCTTCTTCTTCTTCTTCTCCTTTCTTCTTCTTCTTCTTCTTCTTCTTCTTCTTTTTCTTCTCCTTTCTTCTTCTTCTTCTTCTTCTTTCTTTTTCTTCCCGTGCCAGATCTGAAATAGACATCGGTGATCATGGTTCTTCACTCCTTTCTCTGCTCCGATGCTCTTGAAAAAACTTGTTTATTATTTTAATATTATCTGTCCCATCAACTTCTGTTGGTTATCAAAGAGGGAAATAGAGGAAAGGAAAGAATAGAAGGGGTAAACAGAGGAAAAGGAAGATAAAGAGGTGGAAAAACAGGAAATATGTACAAGTAGAAGAAAAGATATTTCTATTACTGTCACCAAAACCATCACCTTCTACATGTGTAAAGATTTGTGCCTCTATTGACACGATTAGATCTTTGGGAGGAAGGCTGCTTCAACTCTGTCTGTAAAAGCTGACCTCTAAGGACAAGGACACAGCATCCCAGCAAAACAACGGTAATATTTTTTTAACTTACCATCGCGAAAATTGGACTCACATCTTTAGAGTTAAGCAGCCTAAACATTACATAACCTGATGCCATTTTTAAAAAAAATATAGATGGATGAAATGGGTTCTACACATTCAGGACAACTGAGAGACAATTTGTACGAAAAGTTAGTTCACTTACTAAAAAGAAAACAAACATCTACAAAATAGAACGCCTAAACTCCAGTTGTAGGTTTACGGGTAGTTTCCAAACAACTTGGCCCTACCAGGGACAAAAACAGCCGACTGTTTAGGTGAAAGTTCATGTCCTACTAGACACAAAAGTTCATTTCCAAGCCAAAACAAAGGGATATAATGTACAGACAGACGAATGGCTCACTACAGAGAAGGACACAGACAGTGAAAGGGTTAATTCCAAGAGCTTCCCGCAGATTTTCTCTCCCATTATCCTCAGTCTTGTGATCACAACTGGAGCTGGAAATGTCAGCGGCTCATATATCTCCTACACAGGGCCTCATCAAACATGACTTTTGCCTTCAGCAAAGAGGATTTAAGTTCAGTAACTTTTTTTTTCGTTTGTTTGTTTTCTTTTTTATCACCCTTTTTTATTTCTGATACAGGAAAGTCATGGCATTTATTTCTTTTGCTTCATTCAAAAAAGACAATCTTTTGGAAAAGCACAAAAAAATAAAAACAACCATTAAGACCATCATTTATGAGAATCACATCAAACCTCCAAAATTTTTATGGATTCCTCCTTGATTGAAACATAATAAATTTGAAAAAAGAAAACTATGTTTGACAACTCTGAATGTAAAACGAATGTTCCCTGACATCTAGTAGTATAAGGAATCCCATGACCATGTGACGAAAATAATTAGTTCACATATTTGATCAAAATGAAAAAGACAATTCACAAATAAAACATTTTGATAAGGCCCCTTAATTCTGCTGCAGACAAATGCTGAGTGATTTTCACATTTCCGTATAATGCAGCCATTTGTAATACATACATACAAACATACAAATGTATGTATGTAAATATGTATGTATGTGTATATATATATATTTACACAGAGAAGGGGAGGTATAATGCTACATCCAACAGCCAAACACAGAGATATCAACAACCAAGTGCTTTCAAAGAAAAAAAATCTCAGCCATTTACGATCAAGCAGAACTGGCATTTAGCATTCAAGTCACTGAGCATTGGTCTGTGGCTTCACAACCTGTGAAGACGGAAGTTTCCTTGACCTATATCCTAGGCTAGTTACACATGATGACAAAGTCTTATTTTCCGAGAAAAACTGCAGGAAGCTGCGAGGAGCCGTGCCCTAACATTGTGGGTAATCCCTCACATTTTTACACAGTTTAGACACAGTCTAGAAACCCCACCCCACAAATAAAACTAAAACAAGAAAAATAAAACAAACAAAATAGGTATGATCACGAAAGCCACGAAAACAAAACTTTAACAAAAAGAAAAAAAGAAAAATTTATATACACACATATATATATATAGACAGATATGTATGACAAAGATCCGAAACAGATAAGACGCTACTGAGTAAGTCCCAGCGCGCAAGTTCACGGGTCAGGACGTTTTGTGTCCTGTTGCCAATTTGCACATTTGATCTTTTGGCAACAGCTCTACCTACGGCAGAAAGAGATTCACGGTACAAAGCTCCATAAGACAAATAGGTTCCCTGTATTTTGTTCCTTCAAACTATTTAACACAGCAGACAGTAACTGCTAATTACATGTATATATTTCTTGTATCAAGCCTGCCATCGTTCTTTTTTGCATTAAAAAAAAAAATATCTCCCCCTGAAAGAATTGACAGATCTTTCTTGTCTGAGATAAAGCCAAATTCTCCACAATTCTTTATGTTTCTAGGCAACGGAAAGACTTTATCTATCATTTTGTACATTTAAAAATAATTATTTTCCTCCACCTTAAGCTGGGAATCCGCCCCAAATAATGATCAATGAGAACACAGAAAACTCAGGCACCCTTGAACTGTCCACATTTGAGTTTGTCCTTACATTTCATCTTTCAAGAAAAAAAAAAAGAAAAAAGACGTGCAAATGAGCTCAACAAAAGGAGCTTTTAACTCAAACAAACTGACTCTGATGAAGAGAACCATGCAATACTTATTTCATCTAAAAGTTAATGATTGTGTGGAAGGTGAGTAAATCAGTCTCCGGGGGGACAAGCTGTCACAAACCACACAATCAGATTCCTTTAACGGAAATCATAATGATATTCCCTACTCGCCAATCAAGTGTGCAAATTGAACAATTAACCTTTTCACTTGTCGGACTCGCGAACTGGTGACCTCGGAGGTTGCATGTGGTTTCTACTCACCAGTGTGACAACCAAGTGGTAGAAAATGAAATAGATGGCCACTAATGAGGCCACTATCTCCCCAGTTTCATACATTGTTGCGTGCATAACTTCAATCCAACCTTTTTGGGTTAGGATTTGAAACATGGACATGAAGGCCTGAAAGGGGAAAGGATTAGGAAAAAAAAAAGTCTAGTGTTAGCATTGATGAGCAATGGAGACACACCTATAGGAAAGTAGAATAAAATATGGCTGAAAAAAATGGCCAAAATCCACTCGCGTGAGCCAGGGTAGTTCCAAATGTGTAGTCCTTTGGAACAGAGCCAGAAGGTGAGAGTATGGGGGGTACGTATGCTGGGACATGTATGAAACGTACAAGCAACACAACTCTTGTTTCAAAATCAGATACTGAACATGAAGAAAGGTTGAACATGAAGAAAGGTTGAACATGAAGAAAGGTTGAACATGAAGAAAGGTTGAACATGAAGAAAGGTTGTATGAAATAAACAGTGGTGCAAGACTAACAAAAAAATCCCAAACATGTAATATGGTAAAGAGAGATATAAATGCAGAAACCTGAACGGAGATGACATCCGAGTTTTTTAAAGAGACAAAACAACTCCTTGAACTGTAAAGTGCACTGTAAAAAAGATATAACACCCCAAGAAATGAAAATGTACACAGAAGTGCCGCTATTATAGAGTGCTCTATCAAAAATCTAGAAAAAATGTGCTAAGCCCATCACAGCTTAGAAAACAATGCCACGGAGATCTTCACAGAAAAAAAGGGCTTCAACTGTGATGTTGCATGCATAAGAACCCCCCACCCTCCCTAAAATAAAAAAGTCGCCAAAGCCCTAAAAATCTTTAAAAGATTAAGAAACAATCTTACCTACAACTCCTACTTTTGGCCAATAATTTTAAAATAAAAGCACCATTGAAATAACAAGAATGCAGCCTGCAAATACTTTTTTTAAAACCTGACCACATTAAGACCCTCAACAACATTTGGCACAAAGGGGGAACATCTGTAGCCAAACCAAATATGGCTGTGAAGGAGAAAACTTTTATAAAGAACTTCTCTTATAGGAGGGTCACAAACATAAAAAAAATAAATCCCGGTCACAAACATTCCACACAAAGTTTGGCAGGAACACCCACTGAGAAGAAACCCCAAGGAATCTCTGGATTCACAGGATTAGAAGAGCTCAAAGAAGAATGTCGACATCACACACTGAAATAGGTTCATGTTCATTGTAAACGGCTCAATAATAAATTTTCTGACCTGGAATTGAACTCATATCTTTTTGTGAAGGTTGAAGAACTTTACCCTTTCACTAAAGATCACAGGAGCTAGCGGTTGATAATTTGTTTGTATGAAAGAATCCACCAGTCAAGACAAAACTACCAGACAGTCGAACAGCTAGCCATCCAACAATGATTGACACATGTCAGATCTCTCTCAAACACTCAGTAACGCGAACAAAAAAAAAGTAACCCTTCTAAAAGTACCGGAAATATTACAGGTTCAGAGTTTAAAAAGTCTGAGAAGGAAAGAAAATATTCAAACTGTCAGTGAAAAAAAAATCTGGTACAACACGGTGAACTTGGAAAGAAGGAAAATAGTTTGCCAATGTAAATTTGGACCTGATGACAAAGAGACGAAATGTTAAAGGAAGTACTGTGTTGGTCATTCTTCAACAACCTATAACCTTCATCATCTGGACAGGGAATACATAAATGCAATGCATGCGCTGAGGATAACGTTACTGCTTTAAGTAAATGCAAATCACACAGAGCAGTGTGCATGAACATCACAGCCGATTCCCATGCCAGTGCCTTCCACACAAGAGCCCCTGACACACTAGGAGAGACCCACAGCTCCATAGATCTATTTACAGTTAGAGAAACATTTTAACACTTTGCAGTCACACAGCCAGCAGTACAAAATACCCCATCTGGTCACCCAGCCAGGAGAGTGACTGCAACGGACTTCTCGGGACTGGCGCAGAACTGTGCCATGTGAGCGGAACGGATAATTTTCACTGTTGTATTATTACGCCAAGTGACTGCAAAGTGTTGACAATACATTCAAGACAGAAACCTTTCAAAATTGAAAAAAACAACAAAAACAACCAGGAAACTATGTTCATACATTCGACCTTGCCAAACTAAAGTAATAACCTGCTTTGAAAATTTTGAGGCAGGGAAAATATTATCTTCTCAGTACCACTTGCATAGCATAAAAAATGTTGACATTTTGCTTTTCAAAAAAATATTTTAAGCGTTCGTCTCCACAATAGTACTATTTAGTTTTCACTCACATTAAAAGTACTATTAGTATTCTCATATTCAATCAGAAATACAAAATATGCTTTTTAAAAATCTTTTCTGTCCAAATTTCTTGCTCTCCATGCTAGTTTTGACTTAAATCCCGAAAATTCTCACTCACACATTTGACATTACAAGACACTCCTCTCTAACATTTCTTCATTCTCTAACTTAAGGAAAGATTATCTCTCCACCCTAGATCTTTCCTTCCATTTCTTCCACACAGACAAACAGAGAGAGTGCAGAGGCACAAAGAGTACAGGTCAGCGCCACAGGTCAACAGCCAGACGTATGCGGTCAGTGGAGGGGAGCGTCCTGTCCAGCAGGAAGTGTGATGGCGAGCAGCAGCAAGAGCCGAGTGGGCATGCAAATTAGTGCAGAGGTCAGAGGTCATCCCGTGCAAGGTGAATGCTCAATCAGAGACAGAGACAGTCCCAGAAAATGCTACGAGATTGATGGTGAGTATGGGGATTACTCGTCTGGATAAATATCTAGAATAATTCTCTTAGCTTCCCCTAGCTGAGAACCTGACTGATAGCTAGAGATCCAGATATCTGCACATAAAGGAAGAGGGCAGAACAGCCTTTGTTTGTGCGGTATTTATAAAAATATGTGCTGAAAAGCTAATTGCTGATGACATATGATGACCTTTTCTTTATTAATAGCCCCCCAAAGCCTTATCCTTCTACATTCAAAGGCATTTTTTATTATAAACCAGTGTGAAGGTAAAACAGCTTTTCTAACCAACCATTTCTCATTTCTACTATCACCGACTTCACCCTCTGATGATGAACTTGATCATAAATATAATGACAAATTTGCTAATATACGTATCAATCAGTCTACGATTAATTATCACAGATACCCAATTTGAGACGATTTGCTTTTTCTGGGCTGTACTAAGATTGTGAGTCATTGTACAAATCTTATGTCCCCATACCCACACAGACTCTCAGCATTCTGACCTGGACAATCCAGTGAGAGAGAGAATAACGGTGAAAGTGACCGACTGAGGACATGAGGCCGGTCCCGAGTACTCACCACGTTCACGAACAAGTGGAAGGCGATGAAGTAAACAGCCACCAGGCACTGAATGCCTGGCTCAGACAGATTGTTCATCAAGTCATTGGACACATCCATCCAGCCATCAGACACCATGATTTGGAACATGGACTTAAAAGCCTGCAGCAAGTACACAACAAAACCAGCACACGCAACCGCGGTGAGAGAGAGAGAGAGAGAGTGAGTGAGTGGGTGAGTGAGTGAGGAGAAGAACAATAGGACGTACGGACAGAAAATAAAAAGGGACAACAAAGGGGCCTGCACAACACAATGGTGCACATATCCAAAGTGAGACAGAGGAGAAGAAGAAGGTGAGATGGACAGCAGAACAAAACAAGGCAGAGGTGAAAAGTGGCCAAAACATCAGTTGCCACTCACACACGACACAACAGAACAGCTTCAGTTGTCACTGGCACAGGGCACAACAGGACAGGTAACCATGCCTTCAAAGTCTGGACTTTTTGCCACAAGCACAGGCTCTACTTTCACACTTTTATGCTGTAGCATGAGAGAAAGGCACTCAGTATGATCACGATGCCAAAAAGTTCTATTCATTTTGTACATTTACCGGGGTACCATCATACTCTTGCAAAGTTTCCTGAATTTGTAAAATGTTTGAAAGCCTTTCCATCTTTATCAAGCTACATATCTACTAATTGACTGCACACGACAATAGATTTGTTTACTTTTCATCAATACAACCGATACTATTTAGTGGGGCTTATCATGATACAGCCATTCTAAAAGATAGAGATTGTCTACAACTTAAACTTCCCTTTAAAAGAACCAAACCTACCTACCACCCAAGGAATGCAAAGAGCTATGAGGAAAAATTACCTTTACAAATTCACAATCAACCCACCTGTATGCACACAAACCAGAGAATATTTTTTTCTCTTCTCATGATCAATCTTTCTGACTTCCAATCTCATGTCCCTTATCAGCTTCCCCTTGGAAACAAATTCCAACTCGTCTTATTTACCCAAATGTTTGATTTAAACCCAGGTTTAAAGACAATCCCCTGCACCCGTCCCTAATGCCAATAAAAGAAAAATGCGACTCAAATACACAATATGGAGAGCACTTTTAAAGTCAAATAGACCAGTGTTCAATAAACTCCTCAAAAGTCATGTCGCTCCAGCAAAAGATACTTTTAAAAAAGCAAGGAGAGCCTATTCTGCAACATTAAGTGTTTTGCAGCACTTCAAACTTTCAAATATCCAATAAATTTTTCTCCAGACATCTCCACAAAAGGCCAACCAGAAATTTCCTCGCTATTTCTTTCCCCATTTCTACTTCTGGACTTTTCTGAAATTCTAACAATAAGTAGCCTCCCTTTAATTAGCCTTAGAATAAGAAATTCTAGAGTAGTGGCACCCCTCTACATAGCTCTAGGATCACACATGCTCAATACAAACAGCTCAAGTCATGTAACTAAGTCTCCAGACAGAACATTTTGAGTAGACCTACTCTTAAACAGCAGTAATTTTAAAATACAAAAACTTCTCAAAATTGAAAGTCAATCTTATAAGCTCCAATCAACACAATTCAGCTCAGAGTTGATGCTGTTATCGATCTAAATTCAGCTAAGAGACAGATTGTAAATGTTTCAGCTTCCATTGACACAATTCAGATCACTTAGAGGACAGGTTGTTATAACTCTGCCTGATGAGGCGAACTCAGGTCGAGTGGGTTACAAAAGCCCAGCAGAAAAAAGAAAAAACCAGCAAAAAAAACTTATTACCTACATAGGCATCAAACTCGTGCCTTTAGCATTAAAGTATTATCATTAAACCACAGACACTGGTCAACTTCAGTTTGCGAAGATGTTTCTTCCTAGATTTAAACTCCTCATACAAAGAAATAATTATATGCTTTAGAAGAAACATATTTAGAACATAAACGTAGGCTTTTAGAACATCTCTGGGCACTTTGGACATGGAGTCTATTATAATGAATGGAGACAAAATCATGCAAAGACAGAAATAATTCAAGGTGTATTAAGACATGCTGGCTTTTCCAAAACATACAACCTCTCAACGACATTATAAATCGTGAGGCTGGACTGGACATTCAAAGCTGGTCGGTCAAACTTTCTGGACAACACTTCGGTGCTTGTGCAAGGACAAGGCACAACTGAGTGCGACTTTGTGAAACATTGCGAATATTTTTGCATGACAATATTTCTTACAGAAGAACAAACACTTACATCACAGAAAGAACAATTCCCTTATAAAACAGGATGTGTCACTTCATTTCACATTGTAGACATCTGGATGTTTGTCTCAAATTGGAACAAGATAAGTACTGCATACAAAATTAAGTCATTTAACCCCTTTGTGCAATGATAAGTCTGATCAAAAAGCCTTGTCAAACTGCAAGCAGCAAAACCAAAAAAAACAACCTACAAACTGATTGAAAAGAGATGTAGACAGAGGTGAAAGCATTGAAGAAACAACTCAGCAATAGTGCTAAGCATCCAAGACAATGAACAGAATACATGGTAAGAAAAACACTGACTTGACCCATTGAGTCCAATCCCCACCACCTCCCTCCCACCCTCTTCCCCCTTTGGCCTACAGAACCCATGAGCCTGAGCTCTCGCAGGTTGACTGTGAGATTTACAGCACTGCATACATCCGGTGTGTACAAGGGTCAAGGTCATGTACATGGAAGATCGCAGGAAGGTCTAACCTGTCCTCAACGTGAACACATACACACACACACACATAAACATTCACATACATACGCATATATACACACAAACACACACACACACACAGACACACACACACACACACACACACACACACACACACACACACACACACACAAACACACACACACATGCATACATTCACACACACACACATTCAAACATATGTACCCAAATGCACACTCACATACACAAACACACATGCATAACCTCAACCACGAATGAATACACGCTTGCACTCATGCATACTCACATATACATGCACACATATAAACACACACACACAAAGACAAACAGAAAAAAACAATGAAAGTGATGCAACTTCTAACTTTCATAAGACATGAAGTATGTAGTACTAGCTGGGTGCCCGTTCGCTGAACAAACTCAAAAGAATCGATCATCAAGCCATTGTGGAACCAGTGCGCACTGCTTGTGAACAGAAGCCTCACTTGTTTACTATGGTGTCTTAGAAGACGAACTTTCCCAAGTTTACATCTAAACAAAACTAATGAAAAATTGAAAACTAAATTACAGTGACTTCATATTCCTTAACTCTTTTCCTAAAACGGCAAAATCCACCACTGGCCCATGGCTTTTCCCTGACCTATTTTTACGCCCCTACCCCACCAAAGGAAAATGTCAAAACATCCAACTAAACACACTCAAACCATATCATATGGCCCATTAAACTGAAGGTTAAAAAATAATCTATCAGATGGTGATACAATATTGAAGATTTATTCCAATTATATTAGTTTGGGGTTTCTAAAAGTGATTATGCAATATCGAAGGTGTCATATAAAATCAACAATTTTCCAGGTTTGAAAGGTCATATCTACAAAAGCACAACATCAGCATCATTCAAACTTCCCAGGTAGGTTGCCTCAAGTAATGCAAAGAAATGCTGGAAGTTATGTATGTGTACCCTATATAGAATTAAAAATACGAGACATATACTGAAGTCAGGGGAGCAATTTTCTTCTTTAAAAAAAGAGCTCAATTGACTAAAAATCGTCTCTCAGTGCTATACTTTCTTTCGTATCTGCTAACAGCAAGTCTATTCTATTATTTTGAAAACGTGGATCAGCGAAGAATTTCATGTCATTTCATTACATTACTAAAGTGGAATAGATAGCGAGCCACTCGAGCCGTATTTTGCAGCTATCTGTCCAGCGAGGCCATGTCTGCGAGTCACATGGAGGGAAAGTGTTAATATAACTGTGCATCCTTTTAAATAATGCTGAACCACCATTAATTTTTCAAATTCGAAAGTTTGCTGGGAAGTTTTACGTGGCCAAAGTGACGAACTTTCACAAATATAAAATATATAGATAACTCTCCACATTGCAGAGGTAAGAAACTAGAAGGAGGTACACATCAAAAGTCTAAATATTCATTCTGTACTTTCAAATTAAGACCAGCTTCATCTGAAAAGTAATTTGACTTCAATGAAACTTGTGGATCCCACAGTCGATCACAGAGTGGTACATACAAGACACAGTGAGGACATGACAGCAGCTAATCACTGCATGATCTCTCCACATTCATTTTCTCCTCAATGCTCTCATAATGTTGGCAAAACAGGTTAAGTAAACATATATTCTGAGAAAAACAAATTGCAAGCAATTTCAAGAGTTAACGTTCACTTTTTTCTTCCAGAACTTACGATTGAAATTTTCACACTCTGATTTGGCATAGGTAAAACCAGACTCAAATGTTGTTTCTATAGATAGACAAAAAGGTTTCTTCGTTTTAATGGGGTCGAACAGAGCGGTGGGGAGGGGGGGGGGTTAAAGATTTCTGTAATTTATTTGACAGTTAACAATTATCACTGAATGGTGGTTAATTTTTATAAATAGTTCTCTTTCCCCTTGATACAAATTTGATTATTCAACTGTGGGGCTGCATTCTGAGCCAACCCAGGCTCAGTGAGATACAGTATCCCGTCAGGGAGACAGACCCAGGCGCAGTGGGATACAGTATCCCATCAGGGGGACAGACCCAGGCGCAGTGGGATACAGTATCCCATCAGGGTGACAGAGATACTTGACACTTGATAAAATAGTTTTACCAGAGCGGGAATCGCTCAGATGTTTTTTGTTAACAACTATCCCACCACAGGCGCCAATGTCACAGGAGGTGTTAAGTCTTGAATTGCATAACTTTGACTAAGGAAAGTATAATGTGATGAAGAACCGACCTGATCAATCGTCTCAAATTTCTTGAATCCGTCGATGAAGCAGAAAAGCTGCAGACTAATGCTGGAAGCAATCACCAGCAAACACATGGTGAAGAGGATCAGACTGCCAAGTTTCTTCGGGGGTCCAAAAATCTTAAACGAGACAGAATGTGCATGAGGAATGAAGGCTAACACAATTCTGAGGTTGTTGCTTTTTTTTATTTATTGCAGACAAGAAATCTTATATCTCCACAAAGTTCTTCCAAGTTCTATACAGCATGCTGACACTACAGTATGGATGTTTGTTTACCCTTTCATAGTGGTATTGGAATTTTAAGTTACAATCCAGGCATCTACTAAACACTATGACTTGCAGTAATAAAGGCTTTCTGCCAGTGCTGTCTACAAATTTTGAGTAACCATAGAATATAAAAAAGACTTCCACCCCCCGGGGGCTGTGCCACCGACTGTAGCGTCTTTAGGCCATTCCCAAAGGGGGGACATTTCTCGTTCAAGCTTAGTAAAATTGTAAATGGGCTGACTCATGTCACGCTCATACCTGTGCCTGATCTACAACAGGGAACTGCTGCTTTTTCTTTCCTGATCCTTACTATTGTCATTTTCCTCTACTTCTTTTGTATGTTTGTCACTCTCTTGTAACATGCTATTTCCGGGGTGCCTTGATAGTCGAAGCAGACCTTGTGCTGTTGAAGCTAGAGAAGTGAGCAGTCTAAGTCTTATTCCCTGTAAAGACTTCTCTGTTGACACCCACGCCTAGGCGCTCATATGACCTTATGCAGTTGCGAGCACCGTAAAACCCTCTACTATAAAAAAAAAAGAAAAAAAAGACTTCCATCAACAGCCTGAGATAAAGAAACGCCCATTTCCCTGCTCACCTTGTAACAGAACTCCTCCAGCATAGGGGAAGACTTGATCAGTCGGAAAAGTCGCAGCACCTGAACAAACCAAACAAAAACCATACACAATTATTGACACTGTCTCAGACATCCATCCATTGTCAACGAGCACAGTGGTAGTCGTACACAGTGTCATTATACAGTTTCAATAACGTGTTAGTCTTTTGCAGGTGGCTGTTAGACCAGATTCAACAGTATTCTGAACCCAACAAAACAGGAAAACTATATAAAGAGGAACATACCAAATACAGACAGATATCTGTAACACTTTATAAAATGTATTTGTGATGGTTTGGTCATATAATATGACAGGTAAATTAACAAGCTTTGCGCCTGATTGGTGACAGAAAAGTTTCCACACACAGTCTAGTTGGAAAAATGAAATAGACAGGGAAATGGCTGGCTCAGTAACAAATCCTTTTAAAAAAAACTATAGATTTAAAAATCCTCTGCATTTTTGTGTCATGACACGGTGGAATCAGGCGCTCATCAATTTTGGGGCATATGGAGTTATTGGTATCACCTTAAAGCCTGTCCATTTGCCTTGCTTCTGATGAAAGAAATATCCATTATCTTGGATACAAGTCATGATATGGGCTATTGAAGGAGGTGGGGGTTGCCTGGTTTCAGAGGTAAAATTAGCGAGAAAATGGCCACCAAAGCTGAGTTATTTCCTTAGCTTGAGAGTCTGTGTAAACTGAAAATTTACAACTTTTATGCCTTTAATCAATGTTTTTCAGTAATATTCACACATAAATGTATTCTTTAGAGGACATGAAAGGTGTTGAGCCAAAAAAACAAAAATTGTATAAAATTTCCAAACCTGCAGAAAAATGACAGTCAGCCTACTTGATTTTCCATTATGACGAGAACCTGATTTCACCACGCTGCCTCATATTTTTGTTTTCTCCCCATTATTTCTTGTTTTTTCACCCTCAATAGAGAAGTTCAATTTTAAGATATGTCTAGAAAAGGCTCCCATTTTGTCAGTTTACCCCAAACTGAGAATGGACACTGTTAACTTTGGGGTAAATCACTGAAAGGAACAAAACCTGTTTCAGAAAGAAATATTTTCTTTAAGCTCTAATGGAATGATGTGAGAGAGAGAGGGGGGGAGAGAGGGAGGGAGG